AAAACAAAGTGAAATTATCATTTTTACAGATTCTTGATTCTCATAGACAGCTTTAGTCTTCCACAGTGTGGTGTTAACACTTGGGCTAGACATAAAGAATTTGTGCACCTGTCTGTTATGTCTGCGAGCTCTGTGCTGCTGAGAGTTCTTTGTTGTTGTTATTCTACTCCAGACCATTAAAAGGGCCCTAATTCCTATGACATGATTATCCAGGTACCAAAGCCCATTTGTCACCTGCAGCAGAAAATTGAGTTAATGCACAACTAAAGGCAACCAGGACTGTGTAATATCAACTTGATTACATCAAACTAGCTGCAAACCTAATTCTGCTGGATGACACTGCGTGGAGCTTGTCATCTCCAATCATTAAAGCTGTCAGGAATCCATCAGGTTTACAGCTAATTAGGTGAACACTAATGAAGCTGGCAAAACAACTTTTCTTTTTTTATGGCTGAGCGGACCTTTCAGTTTGGAGAAAAAAAATTCTCGAGTATTCTCAAGGTTGCTGGGGACTGGATTTCCTGAGTTACCAATCAGCAGACATCTTTAATTCTCCCCCCACCACCACCTTTTTTTCTCTCTCAGTACCAAGCAATCAATTTGTCATCACTCTCAGTATGCCACAAAAGCAGTCATGAACCTTATAACTCGCAGCTCTCAAGCCAAAAAGGGGGAAAAAAAAGTAAGTTTCTTCTGTCTTAAAATAAAACGCCTCATACAGCTCACTTATTTATCTTCATGCACTTATCAACAGCATAAATGTTCTTGTTTTTTCACTCTTGTCAAATAAGTAGCCCTTCAGTCATTCTACATCCCCCATATCCATTAGGCAGAGGCATTTTGATAAAGTAAAGCCAAAGCTAGTGTATGGGAAAGAATGAAAGCACTCACTCTGCCAACTTCTGATTGACCATTAAGCTATTGATGAATGTGCCTGTCAGGAGAGAGACAATTAAATCAAATATGAAACAAAGTCGTTTTGACGGGTCATTTTGATAGAGCAAAACCATTCTTCCATCTCCTATTAGTCCTGCAGTCAAGTTTTTGTAATGAATATTTCTTAACTAACCTGTTATTTCTTAGTTGTTTTTTAAGGTGTTAAAAAAAAAAGCCTTTGCTTTTACTGCTATTAGAAAAAGTAACATTTCCAATGTGCCCAATAAAACAGCATCTCAGTGGGAAGCAATTATACACAATACTAAATGTTTAATGTGGCTATCAAAAAGCTAAAAGTTTAAAGAGATTACACTTCTGCTAAATATGAAAGATAGATCGCACATCGTGGATGATTCACTTGAGAAAGGAGGGAGAGAAAGAGAGTGGTACAGGGAGAGAAAGATACCTCAGAATGTATGTTTAGAGCAGAAACATTTTCTTCCTGCCTATGGAGTGCCCAGGATACAGCAGAGTCGAATGTATCAAATACACAGAAGAGACAGATTTTGCAGAATTAAATTCATGTTACAGAATAGAATTTCCCAAGTATTAGGAAAAGTTCACCTTCTTATTTTTTTTTAATGGTTATTTGATGACACAGGCCAGAAATGCAAAATATTATCATGAAGTGTTTGGCTATGATATTGTTTGCTAGATTGTATCACTACAGTACTGTGAAACTTCCCAAACTTTCTGGCTGTTTGTAAACGGAGTAAGACTGCTGGGAAGTCTATTTCTCTGTCTCAAAAGTACAAGCTGAACACATGTGTATGTCAGAGAAGAGAAGAAAGGAAACGTGGACATCGTTACTTACAATTTGTATTACTGCCCGAGCCCCTTGCTGTTTACTAAATTCAAACCACACCACTCGCAGAAGTTGTCAGAGCAGTGTGAAAGCACTGTCACATTTCTGGACGCCTGTTTTCTAACAACACCCTACACCAAGCTGCAGGGACTACCTGCTCCAAGTTGTCCTAAGCACAACCACAACTGCGCTGCCAGTAATGCTGCCAGAGCCTCTGGAAAACTTCCACACCGGTCTCTCAGGGCTGTTTCACCCTGGTCCCCCCAAAGCTGCCCCTCACCAGCCCCAGCCCTGTGCCTGCACCTCTGCCAGCCCTGGGCCATGTGGCTCGGTGGCACCGCTCGCCAGGAGCCCCTCAAGTTGCACTAACAGAGAGTTGACAGGCCACGTGTGACGTCACCGAGTCTGGCGTTACCATGGCAAGTGATTTATTGATGTTTATCGGGAATGAATAGATCAAAGGCTGCCAGATGACAGGCGATCAATCAGACATCAAATCAAGGATGGCAACAGGCCAAGGAAACCTTTTCCAGCCCACATATCCCCAACTAAGGATTACTGTAAAATTATGTGGGGCTTTCCTTTTGCTGTTTTCTTTTCAATTTGGCTTTTCCAAAAAATACTGCTTAAGTTTAACAGGAGTTGACGTTTCTGGCAAAAGAAAAACAAACCAACCAAACAAAAAAGCTCACCAGCACAACGCCTAGAAAAGTATTTCTAAAAAGAAAAAAAAATATGGAGGAAATCGTAAAGAAACATTTGCCAGTCATTTGACAATGCACAGACCTTTTTTTTTTTTTTTTTCTTTGGTTTACTTCTCATCTGGACTCATTAATAAGAAATCAATAGGATTAACAGAAGAGGCTACCAAAGAAAGTGACCAACTAGGCGGATCTGTCTGTCCGGCAGAGACATCTCCAGTGCAGTACAAGGGGAGGAGAGAAAAAGATAAAAGTTGGGCAAAGGAACCAGTTCTGGGCTTGGATCTTCAAGTAACACTGCAGACCTTCCAAATCACTTTGTCCCTGACACTTCATTCGCAGCGTGCCATGTATTTACACATACCCTATCTCTTTTTTACAGTATTTTTTTAAAAAAATGAATTAGAAAGAGTATTTTCCCTGGCTTTCACAAACCATTGCCTGTGAGGGAACGGGATGTAGAAGAACGAAGAATACGAGGGAGAAAAGCAAAGTAGGTGCCAAAGTACGGGCTGGAACTGAACAAAATTCGCTTCCTTGCTTCCCCCAGCCCCGGAGTCACACCGACCATACATGCCCGTGCAGTGTGTGCCCGCACACACCCGCCTGCCCCTGACTGCGTGTTGCCCCAGAACCGAGCCCGGGCGATGGCAGAGTCCGGAATAAATCAAAGTGGGCACCAAAGTGGGGAAAGGGCTTTCATACGCCCCCACCCAAGCAAACAAAATAAAATAAAATACCTCCAGCCCCCCCCCTCGCCCCGGTGCTGTGCCTCCAGTCCGAGAGTTGCTCAGCAAAGCCCCCGGCACCGGCGGGCAGCGGGGCAGGAGCGCGGCGCGGAGCGGCGGCTCAGCCCGCCGGGAGCCGGTTATGAAAGAGACGGAGGGAAGCGGGAGGAGAAGCCAGCGGCCGCGGAGGGAAGGGAGAGAAGGGAAGGAAGGGAAGCGGCTCTCGTACCTGCTGCGCGCCGGGGCGCTTGCTGCTTCCTCCTCGGCATTGCTGGGCTCCTGCGGGCGCCGGCGGGGGGGGCAGCCGGGGCGCGGGGGTGGGAAGAGTTGCCTCAGCCCCAGAGATCCGGTGAGCTGCTCCAGCCTCGGCGCGAGGGCTGGGTCGGGGATATATTTTTTGTTGCTGTGCATACACGATGCCGAGTAGGAGGAGGAGGCGGCGGCGGCGGAGGAGGAGGCGGCACAGAGGAGAGGACAGCCCTGCTGCTGCTGCTGCTGCTGCTGCTGGCAGAAGAGGGGGGAAGTTTGACAAATCGCCCCGGAGGAAGGAGGAGGGGAAGCCCCCCGAAGAGGTGTGCGGGCGGGAGGGCTGGGGAGAGCCCGCAGTCCCCCCCACCCCGCCCTGCGCCCCCGGTGCCTGGCCGGGCTGGGAGATCACGGCATAAAGACGGGGGATCTCTTGGCCGGAGCCGGCGGAGCTTCAGCCTGCGCTCTCCACTCCCGGCTCCCGGCTCAGCGCTGGAGCGGCGGCGGCGGCAACAGGCGAAGCTTGAAGGGAAACGAGATGATCGCGGTGTCACTCAAACTGCTCCGCCGAGGGGGAGCGGGGCACCGCCGCCGCCCGCCCCGGGCCGCGCCTTCCTTGTGCGCGCATCGCCCGCGGACCGGGCACGGGGGCGGGCGAAGGGCTGCCCGGGGGCGACCCCCTCGCCGTGCCCCTTCCGCCGCCCAACTTCGCCCGCCGCCGGCGCCGGTCCCCAGAGCCGCCCGCGGCTCGCCGGGCAGGGCAGGGCAGGGCAGGGCAGCCCAGGGTTCCGCGCCGCTCGCCCCGCTCCCTTCCCGCAGCCCTTCCCTTTCCGCCCCCGCGCGCACCCGTTCCCCGCCAGACTCCCCGCGCCCACCGCCCCCCGCCGCGCCGGGGCACGGGACTTCCCCCGCGGCGAGGAGGGCCCGGCCCCGCCACTCCATCCCGGCCGCCCCGCGCGGTGACAGCACAGCCCGGCTCCGCTCCGCTCCGCGCCGCCCGGCACATCGCGCCCGCCGGCACATCCATCCCGCCGGCTCCCACCTGGCTGGCGCCGCGCTCCGCTCCGCGGCCGGGCGGTGCCGGGGCCGCCCCGGGCCGGCGGCCGCTGCCGGCGGCGCCCCCGCCAGCGGAGCCGCTGCGCCCGCCCCGCGGGGCCGGAGCGGAGCGGGCAGCGCCCCGCGCGCCTCGCTCTGCGGGAAGGAGCACTTTTCCCTCGCTTTCCCTGTTTCTGGGGGCTGATTTTTTTTTTTTTTTAAATCTCTCTCTCAGTTTGTTGGGGTTTTTTTTTTAATTTTTTTTTCTCTCTCTCTCTCTCTCTCTCGGTCCAAGTTCACTGCCGAGCGCCGGCGGATCGATGTGCTGCGGGTTTGATTGCGCCTCCCTGGGCGGCGGGGCCGCGCGGCGCGGGGAGGGCCGGGGGCGCGCAGGGCCCGCTCCCGCACCGCGACCCCGCACCGGGGCCCCCGCACCGCCACCGGGGAGCGGGGCAGGGATAGAACGGGGATGAAACAGAACAACAGCACCCCCACAAAAAAAAAAAAAAAAAAAAAAAAAGTAGCGATTTTTTTTTTTAAGTTCACGGGGAGGAATTAAAAAAAAAAAAAAAAGGGCTGAGCTCACTTTTACGGTAAGATCAAAAAAAAAAAAAAAATCTCCACTCTCTCGCCCCCATTCTTCGAGAGTTGGGATAATTCCAAATACCTGACTAAGTGCAGATGTTGTTGCGTCTTCACATCCTATAAAGCCGCCGTGCCGCTCTCGGGCTCTCGCTTCCCTTTCAAGTTGCAGGAAATTCAAACACTTTACGTGACGGGTGGAGAAGGTTTTGGGATATATTTTTTTTGATTATTATTGTTATGAGTTGATTTTTTTTTCCTAAGCTGATCTTTAGGATGAAAAAAAAAATCGCAGTCGCCTAAAGTCCCCGGGAAATTGCTACTGTTGGGGGAAAACGAAACATTTCTCTTGCAAACAAGAAAATGGTGAGTTGTCAATTGCCGCTTCTGCTGCCAAACTCGCTCAGTTCCATCTCATTGATACTCGCTGGTTGCTCCTCACAGTTACAGTATCTGCTCACAGAAGGAGCGATCAGATCTGCTTAAGAGACGACACGGAGATGTTCCCCCCCCCACCCCGCTTCCCCAAAAACGCCCGTGTGTGTGAGTGTGTGCGGGCGTGGGTGAGCCGTGCGGCAGAACGGGGCCGGGCGGGCGGGCAGCCCCGGCGGGGCGGGCGGGCGGGCTCGCACCGCGGCGGTGCGTGCCGCTAGATCCGCCCTAACATCTGTCCGTCTCACCATTGGCGCATCCATCAGTGTCACCCCGGCCGCACATTTGCAACGACAACACATCAGACGCTACGCAGACCGGGATTCGGTACAAATAACCGACATACTAAACAACTTAACCGGGGAGGAGGGGACCCAGCCGCAGCATAAGTATTTACAAATGTTAGACATCCTCGGGAAAGCGCGGCTCGGCTGCGGTTAATAGCTCGTTCATTCCCCTCTCCCTCCTCCCCCTTTAAGTAGGAATTAGGAAATGGAAAACCTAAATAATTCACGCCTCCCACCCCCCTCCGAAGGATGCTGCCGTCCGGGGGCAGGGGCAGGGACAGGGGCTGGGGCTCAGCCCGGCTGCGCTCCCGGCTCCGCGGGACCGCACCGAGCGTGGAGCCGGCGAGAGGCGAACCCGGGGCTCAGAGGCTGCCGACCGAGCCGGCCCGCGCTGCGCAACATGGAGGATTCCTCTGAGCTCTGGAGCTGGAGAGGCTGCAACAAACTTTGGGATGCTCGGCCGAGAGCCTCGGGAGCCCCGGGCGGCTCTGTCCCTGCCTGCCGCACGGAGCGCAGGAGGAAGGTCGCTCTGCCACCAGGCGCTGGTAAAGCGCCCTGAAAAGTACAGCAAAATTAAAACGATACGGCGCGAGTGTAGTCATTGCAGTCCTGGGAAGGCTGTTCAGAAATATACGAAAGCCCTCTCTAAAGCCAGTGACGATCCCGATTCTTCTCAAGCTGGCTACGGGGGCATCCCGAGGAACGCGCTGCAGCGACCAATCCCGAATTTTGGGGCGGTTGCAAGTTGGAAGAAGTTTTTTTTATTCCTTCCGTTTCCCTCTCCCTAAATCTCCTCATTTCTCACTGACTTTGTATCCCCCTCAGCCCGCAGGAGGGATGTCAGCCCCTGCCCGCTCGGCTGGGCCCGGGTGCCCGGCGGGGTGCGTAGCCTCCTCCCGCGGGTGCGCTCTCCACACGCGGGCGTGGGTTTATGCATGTGGTGGCATTTGTGTTGGAAGAGGCTCCCGAGCAGAGCTCTGCCTCCCGCAGCACAGCCTGCGTGGAAGATGCTGGCAGGTGGCACCTCAGCAGCTGAGCGGTGTCACTTAACGCAAACAAACACGCGAGACAGTCCCTGGCCCTGCTGCGTGGGGAGGTTTGTGCAAACAGCGCTTACCTGGCTTTGCAAAGGGCGGCCCACACGCGCCGGCAGTGAAGAGTGATGGGCTCGTACCAGTGCGCCGAGCTGGGACTGGGGGGGGGAAATGAAATAAGTGAAACTTTCCGTAAAGAGTAATTGGAGGAACTTTCTGAGTTCAGTTAGAAATAATAATTCTCGTGTGTGTGAGAGAGAAAGGCAGCAGATATACGTGCACACAGACACATGCCCTGCGCTTACACATTCACAACTCGGTGCCAAAATGCTCAGGAAGTTGGGGAATAATTTGGTTGTTAACTATATTAATTTTTTTAAAAAAGGAAGAAAAAAAAATCTATTGAACTTTCTAACAGACGATTTACAGAGGGAAGTGCAGATGCCTTCATGTGCGTTGGCTTCTTTCGGGGTCACAATCTATCCCAGAAAGCTGGAACCCGCAACTTTATGAAGTGTAACATTTCCAAACATAACGCATCAAATCGAAGGCTGAGCACACTCCATCTACAAAGGCTCAGCATACGAGGCTCAGCCCTAAGCTCGCTCTTTCCAGCAGTTTTAAACTAAGGTACCAATTATTTATAAGTCACATAATTAGATAACCATCACTCCTGAACTTTCCATCAGCTAAGAATGTTTTATCTTTCACCACTGGACACTGCTTAGTGCCCTTCTTTGGTATACATTTTCCTGCTCACTTCATTCCCCTACACCAAAACTCCACCAGTTGCCCGAGACACCCCTCCCGTCCCCTGGCCCGAGCGGAGACAGCAGCTGAGCCGACAAAGGACCCCTGGAATTAACTGCTGGCTATGGGAACGGCCAAAGAGGATCAGTGAGGAAGTTTAGCAAACTTGGAACAGCCGCCTCTTAGAAACCAGCGTGTTTTACCCGGGCTTTAACCTTGTTCTCTCCCGAGCAGCGTGTTGATGTTTCGCCACTTGCTCCCTGCAAACAAGGCAAGGAGCGGCGTGCGCCGAGGTGCCCGTGTGTGGCTGCTCTCCCTCGCTGTTCGCACCGGTTCACTGCTCTCCGGGGGTCAGCCTCGAGCACCGAGCGGCCCCGGCCCGGCTCTGCCGGCGCCTCCCCTTCGAGCGGAGCAGAGGAGCAGGCAGGGACCCGCGGGAAGGTACCCGAGTGCCCCCGGACCGGGAGAAGGGTCGGGCACCAGCGAGCCGGGGCCTTTGGAGCCGCCGGTGCGGGGCAGCGGCTGTCGGGGGCGGAGGGGCCGGGCTGGCGGCCGGGGCGGGGGGCGAGCCCCTGCAGCCGGCGGGGGCCTCACCTGCCCCGGGCAGCCCCCGCAGCCCCGGGCGGACCGCGGGCTGGGCTGGGGGAGCCCCGCGGAGGCGCCGCCGGCACCGGGCGCGCACAACGCGGCGGCCCCGCGGCCGGTCCCGCCGGGCACCCCCGGCCCTCTGTGCCAGGGCACAGCCTGCCCTCCTGCCCCACGCCTCGGCAGCACCATCGAAATGCTGGAAGTACTTGGGTTTCTCCCGGCGAAGAACAAAGAAGCAGCAGCTTTCATTAAGGCTGGACCAGATGAATACGGATCTGACAAGTTTGTTTAAAAAACCCCACTGCCCACGCCCGAAAACGATACTGCGCTTCTGTAAAATACAAAGTGTTGTCAATAACCATTATAGCAGCGATAATTATCTGAGAAGAGAACAAAGACATTTTGTAATATCTACATAACTTTATTAGAGCAAAATTATTTTAAAATGCCTGTGAATTCCCAAACCTCCTGAATACAAATGAATAAAAGTTTTTTCTTCGGGCTAAGAATCTTTGCTTGAATGTAAATTGTTTGGGTAAGTGAATTTACACAGCAGCAAAGTTTGTTTGTCTTAGTCCAGTAGCTTTGCTTTAACGAACCAGATGTTTTGTCTGTAAATTGTCCAGAGGACTTTTACAATTCTGACATGCAATAAGCCCCAGAAAATCAGAACTGAAAAAGCTGTGCCCTTGCAATCAGGACCAGGCATTTCGACAAGAGCACGGGGCAGAAGGGAAAGTCTAAGTACGCCCAGTGTCTTCATATTTGGAAGCCTTATTTTAAGCTGGAGGTAATCTTGTCCGAATCGATTCGCTTCCCTCCAGAGTTGACAGTAATTCCTCACCCAACCACAGATATCAGAAATACATCCCCCCAAAAAAACCACCGAGACAGTAGGTAAGAATAGGGGTGGAAACTTCGGCCAAGGGAGCCGTAGGGCTCTGCGGAGGACCGAGCGGAGCGGAGCGGCCCGGTCCGGGGACCCCGCAGCTGTACTGGAGCGAGCCCCCGCAGCCCGGAGGTGCCCGCGGCGGGCGCTCCCTCCGTCCCCCGCGGCGACGGCCGGCGGCAGCGGCTCCTCTCCCGCGGGGCCCCGCGGAGGCGAAGCCCCTCCGCCCCTCCGGGTGCCAACAAGTCCCCTGTTAAACTCGGCCCGGCCGCGGCTCTGCGGGATGATGCCGCTGCTGCTGCCCACCCCACGGAGAGCCGCCCCCGGCGCGTCCCCGCGACTCTGCCTTCCCCCTCGGCCACCGAGCTGTCCCGGCTCTCCCTCGTTCCAGCTGGGCTTTCCCTCGGGCTGAGCCCCTCTCGGCCCGGCCAGCGCCCGCCCCGGCACCCGCCGCGCTCCCAGGGGCCGCGCCCTGTGGCGATGATGCCGCTAAAATAAGATCTATCGGCGCGATTCACTCCCCCCTCAGCTATCACATTTTTCTGCCCCCCTTGAAGTCCTTGAAAGGACTTGAGGTCTCTGAAGAAACAAGCGGCCGCTGCTTTGAAGGAAATAAGCGATACCATTCAGAGCTACTGTAGCGTAATGCATTCACTGGGGCAGCAGGAAAACCTTTTATGAAAAATAGTTACAAATCCTGGAACTCTACCACATGTGACAACAAAGGCTGTTGTCTCAGCAGAAGGGCTTTAGCTAATTTTACCTACACAAAGTTTCACTGGCTGCAGGCTTTGGGAACGCCTTTGTGGAGCCTGGCAATGATCCTCAGGGCTGGCTAATTTGAAAGGCATTTGGAGGATCCCGGAGAAGGGGAAGGGATTCCCCTCTTATTCCTCGCATCACCTCAAAGTTCCCATCGCACAGCTGGCACGGCTGCTTCTCTGCTGACCGCCTGTGACTGAACGCAATGAAGATTTTGTTGTGCACAGATACACTTAAAAAAAAAAAAAAAATACTTGAAGTGGGAAGTTGATAAAGCTTAAGTTCGAGCAAAAACCTTCTTTCTTTTCACAGAAACTTCCTTCCCAGGCGGGTCTTTAGCGTTTGGCACATAGCGCTTGCACTAAGACGTGGAAGTTTATCTTTAAGAAGTTGCCCATTTGCCGGTAGCGCACCTTGACCCGCTCCGGGCCCCAATGACCACCGAGGGAAGGGAAAAGCTACAGCCGCCCCCGCCGGCCCTAAAGAACGGACGGAGCTCGGTGCCCCCGCGAGGACGCGCACGGGGCCGAGGAGAGCGACCGGCTCCCTGAGCCCCGGCCCGTCTCGTCCTCCTCCTCCTCCCCCGCGCTCTGACCCCGCAGCGGGGCCGCCAGGACACAGACACAAAAACAGCCTCGGCGGGGCCGCCGGGCCGTAAATCCCAAATCCCCGCTCCCCGCGTGCCCGGCGGCAGCTGCTCAGGGAGGGCTGCACTGAATTTATCGCGCAGGGAGAGTGCGGGGCCCGGGCGCTGCGGGGCCGTGTGCGGGGTCCAACAACGTGTGCGGCACCCGGCATCCCCCACCCTCACCCCCTGGCCGGGAAAAATTAATGGAAATGTCAGAGATCCTCTGTCCGGGCATACACCAAGCAGGCCCCGAGCCCCGAGAGGGCGACGGCCGCCCCGCTCCTGTCCCGCACCCCGGAGGTGGTCCCGGGCACTTGTCCCCTCCCGGGCGGCCCTGGGCGAGCAGGAGCCGCGTCCCCGCCGTGTGCGGGGGCAGCGCGGGGCAGGAGCCGCAGCGCTTTGCTCCCCGGCTGGTCACTGGGGTTTGCACCGCCCGGGTCAGGTGAAACGTGGAAACTAAGAAAATCTGACACCACCATTGATTCCCTCTCTTTGTTCTCCTCTGTACACAATGGAGAGGAAGAAATGCGACTTTAAAATTGCAATTAGCCAAGCTTTAGAGCAGGTTTCTGTCATTGGTTGTTTATTCCTATCAAATCTCATTTCTTCTCTGAAAAAGCACCTCTAACTGTAAAATAAAACAGACCATGTAAAATAGCTAATATCCTTCTGTAATAAGAGTTGCTTAAATTATGACTGGATGTGCCTAAACAGTCATCTCATAGTTTCCCACTGATTTTGGTCAGGTCCTGAAAGAATGGCAATTTTTTCCAATGTTTTAAAAGTATTAACTTCCTTTCAAACATTCTTTAACCTTTAATGTTTTGTAACTTGATGAAAAGGTCACTTTGTTCGGAGTGGATGCATCTGCTCCATAATTGTTCTAATATCAGGCAGAGCTCCATCCTAACACCACATTCTTTTATGAGAATTTTTTTTCTTGATATACCATTGTTAAGGTTACCATGAGTAATTGTTTTAAAGGCAAAGAGCTCCAGACTAAAGGATGCTCACACTTTATTTAATTTCACCAGCTTCAGATGTTTAGAGCTGTATTCAGCAGATGACATTAGCTGAGCTCTGAGCAGAATAACGTGAAACATTTCACCTCTTCCCACTTGTGGGGGCCTGAGACAGAACAGGATCAGAATAAACAGCTGGTTTTATAGACTGAGCATAACAAAATAGCACAAAATACTGATTAATACTACTTTGGACAGGCAGCAAGTTTGATCCAAGTATCTCAAAGTACTTTACAAAGGGCTGTATTTTGGAAAGCTGAGACACAGATGGGTTAAGACCTAAGAGCAAAGCAATGCTGGAGATCCTGAGACCTCTGAAATCAGTGTCTCAAGAATCAGCCTCAAAAAGTGATTTGGTGGCAGAAACATTACTAATCTAATTATATTTTAGACTCCTTGCTGTGAAGGCAACTGAAGCTTTTCAACACGTGTAAATCAATATTTATCATTAGGAATGATAATATTTTGAATCTGCAGATTTAGCCAGTTTTGCTATAGAGAACCTATGTTTTTTCCTGTCTAAAAGATTAGAAGATGAATACATTAATTGCCTCTCAAGGGCTGAGAATGTCCACCCAAGGGGCAGCTTGTGGCCCCAGATTTGTGGGCAAACATCACATTCACAGCACTGTACCTGCTTTGCAAGAGCAGCAATGATACCTGACTGCATATTGGAGATTAGAGCAAGAACCTTAAATTGATGCAATTAATCCCTCTAAAATACAACAGGATTTTCTAATTCTTACACAATTCAAACATCCAGAGAATATGTTTAATTAAACTTGGCTATACTTTTTTTTTTTAAGATTTTCTAAAAAACCAAAGAAATGAGCTAATTATATTGCTTAGTATTCTAATATGCACTTTTTTTTTCCTAATAACACACTTTTCTAGCCAGGCCAGTCCCTTGAGGACCAGTTCCTCATTTATAAGGAGATCCCCAATGGGAGTTGAAAAGAGGCTATTTTATAAAAAGAAAATATATTCTGAAAGAGGAGCCATACAAAGATAACCCTGCATCACATATATCAGTATGGAGGCTGGAATACGTATTCCAATGATGCAAATCTTCCTTTGCAATAATTTGCTCGTTAGTGTTAATGAAAGCCCAGATACTGATGTCTATGTATTTGTTCTTCTATTTTTCATCACACTAATGCTTTTAACTAAAATTATTTTTTTTAATTTGCTTTATTTAATGAATTTAAAGGTCAGTCCTCTTCCTTTCCATATGCAAATCCTATTAATAGGATAGTAGATGTTTGATATTAATGGGAGTTAATAGAGGAGATACACCCTTCACACAAGAAACCCCACAAGAGAACAAAATAACATCAAGATAATTTCAGTAAATTTGTTGCTTCTCTCTCCCCTTTGAGGAACCAAATATCAAGACAACAGTACCTCGGAAACAGGAGTGGCAGCCAGAGGAGGGATGAGATGTGAAAGGGCA